CACTCCAGGCTTTGTCACAGATGATTCCAAGATTTCTAAATGTCAAATGGAAGTCATGATGGCTACCAGAGCTTATGTTAAACTTAAAAGCTCTGTTCAAGAACCTGGTTTGCACTTTATGATTATTTAGAAAGCAAGGTACATTGGATAGCGCTCAAACAATTTGTTAGATTTACTTGGGAGACATGCCAGTAGAAGCCATGGACAGGTAATATTATAGTGGTAGGCTAGGCTAACATTAATCAGTCATGAAGGTAAAGAAGTAAAAACTGAAATATTCTTACAAAACATTAGTTTAAGCATGCATAAAGAAGAGGTGATAAACATACAAACACATTTAAACAACAATAAACAAACATTCTCAGACTTCCTGGGAACAAATGAAACAACAGTAAAATACCCTTGTTTAAAAAGAAAATATGCAAATATTGTTAAATACTCCATTGAATATTGCTGAGAGTTTATTGAAAACATACAATCCTTGTGATGGAAGATTAAGGTGGATTTTTTATTAAAACTTTTGAAATGTGCAACTTACATTCTATCCTGCTGCGCAGTTGGATATTGTGAAAAAAATTATGACAGGAATCTGGTCTTTCTTGTTCTTTCTATAGCCTTTAGCCTTCTAAAAATAATGTTTATAGTCTTCTTTGTGCTATATTTTTAATGTATTATAAAAAAATGCTTAAATAATTCTTTTATGAAATGGGCAATATTATTTATACATCAATGGCACATCAGTTAAAACAATAGTTAACAATAATAATAATAATAATAATAATTAATTAATTAATTAAAAAATAATAATAAAAATTATCTTTTGTCATTTATGTTATTATGTCCACTCAAGTAGATGTGTGGTTAATGCTGTTTGTAACTGGAATTAGCAATCCATTCTGAACTATTTTCACTATAGAACTGGCCAAATACCTCTTGTTTAGCCACTTCTAATCCATTTTAAATGTAGCATGTAGCATCATTTAATTCAATTTTATAGTGAAAAAAGACTTTTCTTTTGAGCTAAGACTGGGTAGAAAAGGTAGAAAATTGTGAATTTTTATGAAGCATTTTTCAAAGGAATGTGTCATTCCCACCAAAATGGTTCTTCCTAAACTGTTGCTCATAAGCAAAAATATCTTCTGCAGATAATAATCTCAGCAGATCATAAAACTACAAACACAGATCATTCTCTTACCCAGTGAAAATGAAATAATGAAACGTGGAGTTTGTACTCTCTCCACAGCTCTTCAGGCATTGCAGGGTCATGGCTAGCCAATGCAGGGTGTCACCACTGCTGTCAGTTACTTGTCTGAGGATAGCAGGAGTTCATGATCTACCTGTGTGATGTGTCTAGTTCTGCACTCTAAGGATGGACCAAAGCCCTTCACTTTATGCAAGAGGTAAAAGGACATGTGGTTCAGATGGAGAGTCAGAAGCTGTCAGGCATCCCACAAAGACACAAAACACAAACCACCCACCTCCAACAAGCCCCCCCCCACACACACACTATTTACATTATTCTACATCAGGGGTGTCCAATCTTATCCGCGAAGGGCCGGGGTGGCTGCAGGTTTTCGTTCCAACAAAGCAGGAGATCACATGATCAAATGTTTGAAGCCTGAGAGGAACTGATTAAACAGGTGTACTCCAGCTTGTTTGAAGTGAAACCTGCAGCCACACTGGCCCTTTGCAGATAAAATTGGACACTCCTTCTACATGATAATATATAGTGTTATATATTACAGTGTTTTGTAGTGTTTTATAAAAATGCACATCAAAAAAGTAAATAATAATTTTAAGCATGTATATTTATAGTACCAGCCAGAAGTTCTGACACACGTACTCATATTAAGATTTTCCTTATTTTCCACAATTCATAATAACAGTGAATATATCAAAACTATATAATAGCACTAAAATCAATGTTAGATAAATCAAACCTTCTTCTATTTTTAATTCTTTTACAAATTAGCCCCCCCTCCCTCCACACACACACACACCCTTTGCTAGCTTTACAAACACAATAAGTATTTATGTGCTCAGACAAACACTAATATTTGAATAAATAAATATGATGCAATTAGTAACAATACATTTGTCAATTTCAAACCTCTCCTTGGTGCAGCCTAGTATTACTTGTGATTATCATCTGACACCTGGTTTGATTAATCAGTACTCATTATGTTAAATCAAGTGTGTCTGTGATGGAATTTAACAATAATTTAACAAATGGCTGGAGACATCCAGGAGGCATCTGGAACCAAACTTCATTCTTTAAACTAGCTCACAAGATATCAACTACGTTTTCAAGAATAAGAAATTGTTGCTTGTTTCTAATTAATTTAGGTATGTGTGCATAAATTCTAATGATATCTCATGATTTTACCTACAAAACACACTTGTTGCCAAGCTAAATGGTTTTATGTGCTTAAGTGATTTAAGTGCTTAAGACTTTTGCAGGTACTGCATACATTTTTTTTCTTTTTTGTTCAAATACATTAAACATTTTTGCTTTTTTAAAAATTATTTGAAAATAATTTCTTATAGGCATCACCATTTGTTTTTGTCTTAGAAGCAAAATTTAGTTACATTGAAGCATAAGCCACATGTGTGCATTTAAGCATAGGTCAATTTTAGTTTTGTAGTATTTTAGTATGTTTTCCTGCATTCATTCAACTATTTTAGTTTAGTTTTGTTAATATGGTTATTTTGATTTGATACCAACAAAATAGTTATCATTTAATTTGATTTATTCTTTGTTTGTGTTGTATTTGCTGGTTTGTAGCATACAGAATACAGAAAGACTACAGGAGGGGAAGTTTATGTGAAGCACTGACAAAACGAAATGCAGACAGCATTAACCAAAGTACCTCGAAATCAACTACTTAGGTTTAGGAGAAAGAAGATGAGTAAAATTTTGTATGCATAATCTATCTGGCAGTACATTTGTTTAAATTGCATTGTATTGTCAGCTGGATAATCTTAAAATCGTAAGAAAAAACATTCTATGTAATTAGGCAAATATCTATTTGAGCATTTTAAAAAAAAGAGATCTATTTACTGCTCTGGTATTTATTTTGCCCACCGAAAAAAATATATATGTAAACTTGTCTTGTTTACTCATTACAAACAAATTCGACTAAACTGGTTTAAGTTAACTTAAATTTTAAATAAGATAAAAAGTAAGGTGAATAAATCATATCCTGTCACAGACAAGTAAAGAGACTGTTTCGACCCAAGTATCCTATTCTGAGAAATCGATCAGCTGGTTAACCAATTATAAAAGCTTAAGTCTTAAAATATAGAGAAACATCAATGCCGATTTAAAAAGTTAATATAAAAAACGAATGTTATTAAAAGCAATGCTAAACTTCTCATTTATAAACAGAAAAGGTTAAAGCGTAGCACCATGGACAGCACTCCTCTCTGACCTCTTAACCCCTCACAACCTAGTAAATAAGCACATAAAAGTCCATTAGCAGACATTTTTCTAGTCTTTTCTAAACTGTTTTAAAAGTCATTGGCTAATTTGAAATAAAACTTATGAGTGAATCATATTAACACCGTACCAACTGTGGGGGAACTGCTGAGTAAACCCATATTTTGCTCAGCAGCAAGCAAAGCAACAGCCGAATGTTAGCTTTTTATTATATTAAATAAAAAACACAACTAATTTCCTGCATATATATATACTTATTGAAGAGGGTTACGTGAATATTTAACTTTTTCTTTCAGCAAATTTGGTGGCTTTGATGCCCTTCTACAGATTTAAAAATTGTTTAAAAATGACATTTTATACAACACTCAATAAGTAAGTCATGTGACGTTCTGTATTTGTTTATTTGTTTTTATTTTTTCACCATGTCATTTTTAGAGGGACCCGTAGAGATTGAATGAAGTGAACTGCTTGGGCCCAAAACTTTGGGCTCGTTAATGGAATTCAAGAGAGACGAGCATATATCAACAAAAGGACTGTGAGGGTGAGCTAGAGACAAGGGGAAAGGGGGAGAGGTAAAGATAAACTAACAGCCGTCACTTCAAATTAGCTCACTAAATATCTACATAATTTATTTTATTTATTTTTTTATTTTATTTTTTTTTTTTTTACATTACAATTTACGTTGTGTAATATGAGGATCTTATAGATCATGACATAGATAGATGCCAGTCTAGGCCTAGGGTTTTTTGAAAGGTTTGCTCAGGAAAGAAAAGAAAAACTCAAATTCTCAGGCCATTAAAATCTTTTAATCAAATGTTGCACTATACATAAATTCAAATGGGTCCACCTTCCCACGTTTTATTTAGGTAGGGCTGGATTTTAGGCAACACAGCTTGTGCTTCACTGCTGCAAGTCAGTGGACAAAGACACAAATAATTCACAAATTATTTACGCTATTAGACAGCTGTTACCTCAGGCCTAAGTGCTGTGGTTGATTATCTAAATGATGCATCTGAAATACACGAAAAAAAAAAAGAAAAAAAAGAAATATATTCCGTCAAATAAATAATTGGTCCCTTGTTAATGAAACGATATGAACATGCTGGTCCTTATTCCAGATTATCATGCATTTTGAAACGTGTAATAACGGAGTCCATTTTGTATATGTAGTATGATATTCAAAAATCAAGGCATAGGTTTCAGGCTACTCCTTCAAATACTTCAATTAAGATTGCATTTGTACTGAACGCTTTAAATAGGCAACTTGGACACCGAAATAGAAGTTTTTTGTATTTACGACAGATCCTATGACTGATACGTACAAAAAAGAGAAAGGTAAAAGTATCTCAGGAATTTCACATGTTCAAATAAACGGATACAGTGTTAAAATTCGCTCCTGCAGAATTAAGGTTGCTGTCGATTTGACTCTAGGAGTTCATTCAGCGCTGGTTATTTGTACTGCACAGTCTATAAACCGACACGACAGGGAACGCAGACCAGATTCCGTAGGCGTGCACTGTACACGGTGATGAATTATCCTCCTAAACGCTCACCAAACGTTGACTGTTGAATGTGGCCAGTTATGCTGCATCCTTGGCCGTAATTTGTCCATCACTGGATGGCCATGTATGGCCAGTTGAAGCTGCTCCCTGATAGCAGCATGTCCCTGATGAGCGTTTCGATGGGGGTCTTACCTACTAAGCGCACGAAGAAGAGCTGCTCGATCACGGAGGAAGAGACCATACGGAGCGCGGGGAGGCGCAGGAGGAGCTTTCCGAAGCGCGCGGGCTGGGAGGGGTACTGGCTCCTTACGTACTCTTCTAGCGCGCACTGGGACTTCTCCTGCACGCTCTCTATGTGAGGCACGTCGGAAAGGCCACATGCGTCTGTAGGAACAAGGCACGTTGGTTAAGAGGAGTCGAGAAACACCGGAAGTTCAACCTCAAAAAGTTTTAGGAAAGAAAGCTTTGGGTTCTTTGAAGCATGTAGCAAAAGACCCAGGTTTGGTTACCTAAAAAATATTTTAACGACTGGTACCTTACAGAAGAACTGAATATTTTATGTATGTGAAATGTGATGAATATTTTTAAAGTTTAAAGAACCTCCACATAAAGAACATTCACATTATGTCGATGTTCTATACGGACTAATGGGTTTCCCTAGAATCATTCATCCATGCCATAAACCCTTCTTGTTGGTCTGTTTGTCAAGATAAAAGTAAGAACATACAACGTTAACCATGGCTGGCTGACGTTGCTCTAGCTTTTAACATGAACACTTTAAAAGGCCAAGCAACTTCTTAGACTCCAGCACATTTTAAATGGGGTGCTGGGAGAACTGTGCTTTACAGCAGTAACATTTCTATTGTAGGCCTCAATATTATGATTGAACGCTCTTCATTGCTGCCAAGAAACACGGGAAACAGTTATTTTTTAAGTGTGACAGTGTAAAACTAATTATCAAATTAGTGGAAAAAAGATAATATATGAACAGATTTCCCCACTAGACTCAATTAATCAGCTGTCCATAAAGCTATGTTTAGCACACAAGCAGTAGTTAATTCTGACTGCCTTCGCATACATCTTTATATACACATGCAGCAAAATAATAAGGAAAAACTCGAACAAAACAAAATAATACGACGATAAAATACTACTACTACTACTACTAACTACTACTACTACTACTACTATTAATAATAATAATAATAATAATAATAATAATAATGACAAGTGTGACTTCAAAGTCTGGTTAATTTAATTAACATATTCAAATTAAATCAAGCTACACAAGGTACTGTTAAAATGAAAAGCAGGATCTGCCTGTCTTCCAGCAAGCAGTCAAACCTCCTGGAAAGATGACTAAAAAGTCACACAACTGAGTATTCTTTCTAGAAACATAGAAACATCAACATAGCTTGCTCAGCATAGCAATAATGCTGTTATGTTTGAAATTAAAACAAGTGTTTGGAGACTTGTGTTCCCTTACTGACAATAAAGGTGGAATCGTATCAATACACAACTGAACCAACAGAACGGTCTACAAAATATCCAAAGAAAAAATACTTTATTTGTTACCATTAAAATCTAATGGGTACGTGAATGTGATCCGTTCATTGACTGAAGTTGTGGTTATTTGATGGTGTATTAAATCTTTCTCCTTCTTTGTTCTCAAATAGGGGAACAGTTCAAACAAAGCACGATTCCACGCTAAAAAAAAGAAAAAAAACATTAGCTTGACATTGTACCTGATGTAAAGAGCACGATCGCTTTGGCACAGCTGAACTCGGCCGAGTCGACGTTCAAGGCCTTGAGTTTCTCCACCTGATCTTGGAAGAAGCGGATGTGGTCCATAAAGGCCACAACTCGGTCGGCGGCCATGGGAGAGGCGTGGAGTCCGGCAGCGGCCAGCAAAGGGGCCACGTGCAGCGGCATGGAGCACTGCGCCGCATTCAGTACGAACAGCTCGCTCCACGTGAGGCGCAGCAGGGACACCTGGTCGGTGATCTGCAGCTCCGGGAAGAAGGGGATGTTCCTGGCCCACTCCACCGCGCTGAAGAGCAAACGGGCCGCCAGCTCGCAAATGTTCTCGATACCCGTGATGTTACCGGCCTGCATGCACTGGTTGCCATACCGAGACGTGGGGTACGGCTCCGCGCGGAGCAGCAGCGAGATGAAGCCGGACAAATAGCAGTGGCCGTTCAAGGGATCGCCATTGGTCAACGCGTAATGACCCGGGTTGGGCTGACTCGGAGCCACTCGTCCTATCTGAACCGCTGACAAAAAGGAGGAGAAGCAGAGGAAATATATATTCATGTATTCTATGTAAAACCTTTGACTGTGACTTTCATTTTTCTTTTCACCTGCTACAGCTGTCTATTATATTATTATTATTATTATTATTATTATTATTATTATTGTCTCTATATTAACTGGAGTCTCCTTTAAATCATTACAATTGACACCTGGTGTGCAGTTGGACAAAAATTACCGCTTTAAGAATGAATTTAAGACTGAGAATTCCGTGGGAAGAAACAACAGAGCAAGTGTTCAAGTAACACACTTGGCTTATCATCTACTATTCGTAGACCAACCGCACACTGTAACTGACTTTAAGAAGGTATTTTGCAATGGATATGTGCAAAAACCGCTTAACAAAACAGCACAACAAAACTCCTAGCGTTTAATTCGCTCTCACGGTGCTCATCTGTGTCCAGAATTGTAGATGTTGATGTAACACTAGGTTATATTTTAAACTGGCAAGATGCCCAACAATCGATTTGAACTTAAACCCAATCAGAGAGCTTCCTGAAACTAGAAACTTCAATCCACGCGCGCATTCTGACTCACCTTCCCGCCTCATGCCCACTTTCAGGCATTTCTTGAGGCGGCAATACTGACACTGGTTCCTGTGGTGCTGGTCCACGGGGCAGTTCCTACTGGCGCGGCACGTGTAGGTTAAGTTGCGACGGACGCTCCGCTTGAAGAAGCTCTTGCAGCCCTCGCAGGTGAACTGGCCGTAGTGTTTGCCGCTCGACTTGTCTCCACACACCACGCATTCGATGTGCTGGCTCTGGCCATTCTGCCCAGGCTGTACGGGCTGGCCAGGTTCCCCAGGCGCTTTGTGCTCGGCTGCTCCGTGCCTTGAGGGCTCTCCTGCCTGCAGTTTGTGAGACGTGGGTGATGCGCTCGTGCCGTCCAGAGACCCTCGTGCCAGACCTTCTTGCGGATCTCTCCACACTCCGACCAACATGGCAATGTCTTTGTACGGGACTGCAAATGTCACCAGTTAATAAAACCTTTTCGCAAAGCAGAGTGCACACTGGAGTGCAACCAGATGAACAATCGGTTTCTATCCATGCAGAGGAGCCAAGCCAGGAAATCAGCGACGAAATCCAGTTTTGCGATCGGTAATCAGGTCCATTAGGAAAGTCTGAAGGAACACTGTGGCGTTTGTGTCCTCCAGGCGTAAAGTGAGCTCTAAAATGCTTAATTCATATCCTTAGACTGAATGGATCTGATACCAAGACGCATCGCAGCCATCCACCGACATGATTGACATTGGTACGAATGAAGCAGGGCAGATTCTCGGGCTTGAAATACATTCCCAATAAATAAGGCATTGAAAGGAGCGGCGTGTTGGAATCAGGCGAAACGGATGGATTGTGACATGCTAGCCGCGCTGGAGGTGTTTCTGTACAAATGGCCACACCTTTGCTCTGTGGTCAGGAGCCGTACTCCGTGGCTATGGAGGACCCCCATCAGGTCATAAGCGTTGAGTGGGAGGCTCCTGCCAGCTTCAGCGCACTTTCATTGGCCATTTTCACTCACATCCTCTCGCCTCGTGGTCTGCAAAGCCAACTGCTGCTGATGTGTGTTCACCTTTTCATTTTTTTTTTTTTTTGCCTTTGACTTTTTTCCAGCTGAAGTCAGAACGACTGAACAACCGCCTAGCTGCGCATTAGTCAATGTGCAACACTGGGCTGGAGTTATCAGATTTCTTTGTTACGTCTAAATTTAAAAAGCTAATTTTATTCGAGAAACAACTTGTGAACATTCTTCTTGTGCTATTGGATGCTACTTTAAGAAAGGACTCTGAGGCTCAGAAGTTGCGTTGAATGGAGGGGACTGCCACCTAGTGTATAAAAGAAAAACAGAGCTGTAATATTATACATTATTTTTTAGGTGCCTAGATCAACAAAACGTGTTTGTTCTAAAATTTTCCTCATCTTAATCTGAGCCATGGAAAATCTCACCACAATCAGTGGTCAAATATCAATGTTCATGCTTTGAAACCCCAATCACCCTCAAAACTTTAATAATAAACCTAGACACGTGAGGAGGTGTGGGAAATGGCATATCTGTCAGCAGGTTAAATAAGATTCAAGAGACTCAATACAAAGAGCTAAGGAGTTCTGAGCCCCTAGGTCAAAGGTCATATTAAGGGGTACTGCTCTTGAGAACATGGTTAAGACTGGTATTTAAGACTAACCTCACTGTGTGTTGGCGTTTATGGAAAGGAATTTAATGCTTTAACCATGTTTGATCGATCTACACACAGAATGGGTGTGTTTATCCATGTTAGATCTGTCTACACAGAGAATGGAAAAGAACAGATCTTCATTTGCTTGTGAGTTTTGGACTAATTGAGACTGCTTTTGCTCATCTGTTGTTTTGCTTTGTGCCATTTAACCACGTAAAGCCTATGTGGGACCAAACTTCAATTCCTAACTCTTATAACTACACAATTTACAGATTGGGTAGTAGTTACCAATAGGTTATAGTAGCCTAATCTAATACTCAGGTAAAAGTATTATTACTTTTATGAAATAATGACTGAAGATGAAATAAAAGCACTTCTCCAAAATGCAACTTGAGTGGAAATACAAATGTACAAGGACAAAAACCTACTTGGCAGGCCTGCAGGGAACCCATTTTTCCTTTTTGAAACCAAATAATTTGATGTGGTATGTAAAGTTTCAAAGCATACCATTCAGTTGCCAGTAAATACAGTCCAGAAATGGAAATTATACTGTAAACATGATTTGTTTTGAGTTCTTTGTTTTTGTGATGTCACTAAAACCAACACTTTAACTTATATACACTTACAGATTACAGCAGTTTAGACCCACCTATTCATGCTGAAGTTATAAGGAGCGTTTTAGGGCAACTTTTTGAATGAGGCATAATACAGGGCATCCTACCCACAAAATATTTTTAACAGTGCAGTAAGTGTCTATGTTAAAATATACACTTACCTATTTTAAATTTTAAAAATTGTCACTGCTAAAAAATATACCATTCCCACTATATAAATATGTGTGTGAAAGACTACTCATATCGAAGGAACTCTGTAAACTTAAATGTGCCCCCAAATTAGGCATTGCTTTGTAAGTATCTGCTACCTGGTGTTTGACATACTTTAAATTGCTCTTGCTCTCTTTTAAATGTTGCATAAATAAACAATATTAACAAAAAATAATACAACCCCATTTCCAAAAAAGTTGGGATGCTGTGTAAAATTTTAAAATAATAACAAAATGTAATCATGTGCAAATCATTTAAACCCTATATTTTATTGAAAATAGCACAAAGACAACATATCAAATGTTGAAAATGAGAAATTATATTGTTTTTTGAAAAATATATACCCATTTTGAATTTCATGCCAGCAACACGTTCCAATGCTTAAAAAACACCTGGTCGTTAATTGGCAACAGGTTAATAACATGATTGGGTATAAAAAGAGCACAGCAGACAGGCTGAGTCTTTCAGAAGTAAAGATAGTGCGACAATTCAAAAATAACGTTTCTTAAAGTAAAATAGCCAAGAACCTTTGCTTTTCATCATCTACAGTAGATGATATTAAAAGATTTGGAGAATCTGAAGAAATCTCTTTATGCAAGGGACAAAGCCAAAAACCAGAATTTGCTGGCCATGATCTTTGGGCCCTCAGGTGGCACTGCATTAAAAACAGACATGATTCTGTAGTGGAAGTCACTGCATGGGATCAGAAACACTTCTGAAAACCACTGTCTGTGAAAACAGTTCATCGCTGCATCCACAAACGCAAGTTAAAACTGTAAAACACAAAGAAGAAACCACATATAAACAGGATCCAGGAACACTGCCACCTTTTCTGGGCCTGAGCTCATTTAAAATAGGCTGAGGAGAAGTGGACAAGTGTCCTGTGCTCCCACGAATCAAAATTTGAAAATCTTTTTGGAAATCATGGACACTGTGTCCCCTACGCTAAAGACCACTCAGCTTGTTCAAGAGCCAGTATTAGGTGCACATGGTGTGGGTGACTGGCACATCTGTGAAGGCACATTAATGCTAAACGATATATACATCTTTTGGCAACATATGCTACCATCCAGATGACATCTTTTTCAGGGAAGGCCTTGCTTATTTCAGCAAGAAAATGCCAAACCACATTCTGCATGTATTACAACAACGTTGCTCCATATTAAAAGGGTCCCAGTGCTAAACTGACCTGCCTGTAGTCCAGACCTGTCACCACTGAAAACATTTGGCGCATTATGAAATGAAAAATATGACAAATGAGCCCCCAAAGTGTTGAGCAGCTGAAATCCTATATCAAACAAGAATGGGAAAACATTTCACTTTCAAAACTATAGTGGTCTCCTACGTTCCTCCTACAGTTCCCAAACGCTTACAGTTATACTGGGAGTATTAATGTGTTACAATTTTTCCTGCTCAGACATGATACAAGATGAACATAAGACTCTAAGTCAACAGGTTTCAGTCTGGTGCTGACGTTTGATGTGACAAAGGGCCACTGAGGCGATAGGGCAACGTTGCAGTGTCAAAGGGTGTCACATTTCACATGCAGATGTGTGACCTGTTTGACCTATGGAGGGACCAGGGCTCTATGGAATCCAACTGCAAGCAGATGGCTCTCTGAGAGAAGCGACATGGGTGCATGAGAGTCTTAAGTAACACACTACAGGTATATGTGCACTACTACAGTGATATTGAGATCTTCAAGGTCTGCATAAAATTAAAAGAATACGATGCAGTCAGCCACGTTATTATTTCAACCACTCACTTTATTTATGGATAGAAGACTATGTATATCAGAAGTAGTGAATTAGAATAATGCTTAAATAATAATTTATTGATACATATATTGATACATACATATATTGATACATATATTGATACATACATATATTGATTGATATATATATATATATATTTGGTTGGTTTTATATCCTATGAAAGGCTGAGATTTGATAGATTACCTAGCCCCTTTCTAAGATCATAATGTCTGATATGCCATTAGGAGGTTAAACTGTATTTGCTCCTACCTACCCAAATATTAAATTTTATAAATATTATCAGTCCCTATATCATTGACATTGTAGATACTGATCAGTAAAGAAAATGTCTTCTTAACTGGTCTGGATACCCCCTGCAACAATTCTTTAATAGAGTAGAACAATCAGGGGTTACAGTGTTCAGAAGTTCTTTGAAACTGCCAAAGAGGCTTACCACTAAAATTTCAAATAGCATACTCATAGCAGAAGAGCTCTTCAACGTTGACACTCTTCTCAGAGCTTGAACTCGCTACATCAGTCAGGACATTGCACCCCTTTGAACGGAGTTTAATTACTGTACCTTTAGTTTAGTACAAAGGACACATACGTTGTCAGAAAAAAAGGTGCTGTGCAGGTCCATTTTTCGTTCATCAAGGTACAAATAATGTAAAAGTACCCTTAAAGGTACAACAGTAGTTTTAATGTCTAATTGTATACTTTAAATAAGTTTTTCACAGGGGAAAGGTATTTGTACCTTTTCATAAGCCAAAGTTCGAAAACAGAACAATGAAATAAAAAGCCTGGAGACAGGCCTGAGTGTGTGGAGTTAATACAAATGAACAAAATATATAATTGCAATGGATTGTGGTATAAACATGTTCCCTAACTAAATGTTCTGAAGATGTACACTTTAGGGTGCCATCCCAGTGTCAAGAGGGGCAACCCCCAGTGAGAGATTAGAACCTTTTTCTTTTCTGAGAATGTAGCAATGAGAGCATCTTAAGAAGCCCGAAATGCAGAATCATTTCAATGACCATTACATAAACTTGTTAATATACGTTTTTTCCCTGCTTGTGTGGCTGTCATTACTGCTGCTAACCGAGGTGACTAGTATGTTCAATGAGAGAGGTCATATTAGGGTCAGGACCCCCATTCTGCTCTATTAACCACCATTAGCCCTTATATGTTGGGTGCTATAAAACCGTAAAACTGTATTGTAAACTAGGCAGGGTCTAGCACTCTTGACCCTGACGACAAAAAGGCATTTGGTTATGTACCAGTTCTGAACAATACTAAAATGTGCAAATGCAAAATGGATTAAAGGCTGATTAGAAGTAAATGAAGGCATAATGAAAACGAACATTGTTTATCAGAACTTGTACTTTCATCAAGGAGTTCTTCATTTTTAGAGGTCTTATGATTACTATTTATTGTCTGGAGATGTTTTTTGATATGTTGTCTTGAGATGTTTTTCAATTG